GCTCGGCGGCGGCCCCCGCCCGCGGCCAGGCCCGCGCCCACGCTCCCGCCTCGCCCGGCCGCGCTCACGGCGCTCCCGGCGCCCGCTCTCTGGCCCGCAGTCGGCCCCGCAGTCTCCGGCTCCCGCCCGGGACGACGAGCACGCGCGCGCGCCCGCGGCGGCGGCGGGGGTGGGGGGAGGGGCGCGGGGACGGGGCGCACGCGCGCGGGGGAGGGGAGCTGGGCGGGGTGGAAGCGCGAGCCGCGGGGGCCGCGGGAGCCGGCGCGCCAAGCCGGGGGCGGGGCCTTGGCTGGGGTGGTAGGGGGGCTCCTGGCTCCCCGCTCCCGCGGGCATCGGGTCTCCGGGCTCTCGGCTCTGGACGCGCGGCCGACGCGGTGCGGGCCCAGGAGACAGGGGTCCTGTTTGGAAAAGCGCCTCCCGGGATCGCCCAAAGAGCTCGGGGCCTCGGGAGGGGGGGCGCAATCTCAGCCCAGTTCCCAGGGCCTCCACGCTGCAGTCCGAATACCTCTACCCCTTCCTCCGACTTCCCTTTAATGACCGCTTCTCTCCTTCAACTCAGCCGTTCTCTCGCTGTCGTTTAAATGGACACCTTTGTTAAAATAAGATAAAAAGAATGGGGAAACAAGAGGTGGTGGAGAGGCCGCCACATGGCTTGGGATGCCCTGGGACACTCGCGTGCGCACAGAACTGACCCACCTGAGTCCCCTGCCTACCTGTGTCTCAGCCCCAGCCCACCGCTTTGACGTTCCCTCCATCTCTTCCTCTTCTCTCCCACAGCCTGCCCTCTCGGACAAGCCTGGGGAGAGAAGGCCTTTGCCTGGAAAGCAGCATCGGGGTGGCTTCCCATGGGGTGCCCGGGAGAGTTGCTGAGCCCAAGCCCCCTGGCTGCAGAGGATCGCTTGATTAAATTGCCGCACGCTTCATTTCCAGGCTTTGGCAAGTGACAGAATCATTAACCACAGAGAGCTGTTGAATTCCAAGGCAGCGGTTGGGGAAGGCCCCTCCAAAGCCCTTCTTCCTCCCTGACTCCTGGGTTAGAGGCTAGGGATCTGGAATGGTGGGCCCGCTCCGAGTCTGGAGAAGAGATAGGAGTGTCTGGAAAAGCAGACCTTGAGACAAGGGCTGGTGTACAAGTTGCTTATGTTGGACAGTGATCTCGGGATGAAAGCCAGTACAAGGGTACATTCTCAAGTTGGTGGGCAGTCAGAGCTGCTGGAACTTGACCTTGCTAGGAGGTGGATAGAGTGCATCTCAGAATTGTCTGCCCCAAACCCAAAGAGGATACTGCCATACTATGAAGGACCACAGACCTGGTGGCTTAAAATAACAGAAATGTGTTTTTCACAGTTCTGGAGGTTCCATGTCCAAAATCAAGGTGTTGGTAGGGCCATGCTCCCTCTGAAGGCTCTGGGGGAGGATCCTTCTTTGCCTCTTCCTAGCTTCTTGGTGGCTCCCAGCAATCTTTGCTGTTCCTTGGCTTGTAGCTGCATCACTCCAGTTTTTGCATCTGTCCTTACGTGGCCTTCTAACCCTTGGGTCTCCTCTGTGTCTCCAACTTTCCCTTTTCTTGTGACACTGGTCATTGGATTTAGTGCTCACCCTACTCCAGCATGACCTCCTCTTAACTTGGTTACATCTACAAGGACTCTAATTCCAAATAAGATCACATTCACAGATACGAGGGATTGGAACTTGAAATTTTTGGAGGACATAATTCTACCTACCACACATAGCGAAGTCCAGATTCAAGGACTGCATAGACTGCTTCTTGATGGGAGGAGTGACAAAGTCACATTGCATACGAATGTAAATGTCTGCGAATACACGAATGGGAAGACTTTGTGGCCATTTTACCATTGACCATACCTCCATCACCCATTCTAGATTTCTCCCATCCCTGGAAAGCACCACTGCCAGTCTAGGTTTTTTTCCTGGAGGGCTCAACCGGATCTTCATCCTACGTAGGTCTGAACCTTTCATTGGTTTCCTCCTTGTCAGGCCACAGTTGTGCAATTGTCTGTTTATGAAACACAGAGACACTCTATTGAATGTTCTCAGTTGCAGGCATTCTTCTTGCTCTCCTTAGAGAGCAGCAGTGCTAGCTCCTAATGGACACAGGATCAATTGCCCCACCAATATGACAATCTTTTCATGGCTGGATGGTCCATGGGCATGAGGAGCCTACGTTGACCAGATGGTAACTTTTGTTTCAAGTTCAACAGAACACTTACCATGACCCCTGACAGAAGCAATGCCCCTATCCCAAGAACCAGGAAGGCTTAAGGTTTCAGAAATAGGAAACACCAATTCCTCAAATGGGTCACTGGAAATGATGGGGAGAGCAGCCAATCCTACTCCCACTTCTTGGCTCATAGCACCATGTATTGACTATTAATTCCCTGCATTTGTCACATTATAGAGTAACATCCCCCAACACCACAGGGTGCTTTCCCCGAGGCAGAATCTTTGCTGAGTCTTCAATAGGCTCTGGGTGCTTCTGAGTGATGCAGTGTAGGGCAGGGCCAGTGGCTCCCAAGCACGTGTGCTTATTGTCACACCCCCTTTCTTGGAAAAAGAGTCCCTTGCTCCGAAGTATTGTGTGGCATACCATGTCAATAGATCAAGTGTTGTGTAAGCCCTCAGATGGACTGCTAGCAGAGATGCTGTGCATAGGGAAGGCAAATCCAAATCCGAGGTGTGACTAACTACTGCCCCTTCCAGCATGGGAGGAATCCTGATGTAACCCTCTTGCTACCAAATGGCTGGCTGGTCCTTTTGAGAAATGGCATCATACCAAGAGATCACCATTGATCTCTGCTGCCGGTGGGTTGGGCATTCCGTAGCGGCAGTATCAAGATCATCCTTGGGGAGAGAAAACCCCTCCTTTTCGACCCGTGCAGAACCTCCAGCCCTTGCACCAAGACCACTGCCTTCATGGATCCATCGCACCATGGAGAGAAGCTGGCTGACCTCCACCACAAGGTTTCCTCTATTTGCCTGGTGGTTGGGTTTGAGTTCCCATTCTGCTGGGGGCCATTGACAGAGACACAGGAATCCACGTACCCTTCTTATGCACTCCTCTAGGTACATTAGATAACCACACACCTCTCCTCCAAACCTTCTGGTCTCTGATTGTAACATTGTGGTTTATAAAGAAAAATATATATATTTGGTCTTTGTCCCTGTTTTTGGCCCAGAGCTCCTAAAACGCTTGGAATTTCCTGTGAGGAGAGCAATAAAGGTGTCTTTTGTTATGTGAATGAGGTGACTTTGGGACCACACAAAGGATGGGGGCTGGTTGCGAGGAGAACCAACTGAATAATTAGAGGGTTGGAACTTTCAGTCCTCCTTCCCTGACCTCCATAGAGGGAAGAGGGGCTGGAGGTTGAATCAATGGCCAATGGCCAGTGTCCTGATCAATCATGTCTTTGTAGGGGCACCTGGGTGACTCAGTCAGTTAAGCATCTGCCTTGGGCTCAGCTCATGATTCCGGGGTCCTGGGATCAAGCCCCCGGGCAGGCTCCCTGCTCAGTGGGAAGTTTGTTTCTCCCTCTCCCTCTGCCCCTGCTGGCGTGTGCTCTCGCTTGCTCACTCTCTCTCTCAAATAAATAAATAAATAAAATCTTTTAAAAACAATCATGCCTTTGTAATGAAGCCTCCTTTAAAACCCAAAAGGAACAGTGTTTGAAGACCTGCGTTGGAGGTACGGGAGAGTGGCATGCCTGGAAAAAACATGGAAGCTCCATGCCTTTTTCCCATACCTTGTCAATCAGGCTGTTGCTGAGTTATAATAAACTGGTGATCTAGTAAGCATCCTGTGAGCTGCTCCAGCAAATTAATCCAAACCGCAGAGGGGGTCTTGGGACCTCTGATTTATAGCCAGTCCGTAAGAAGTACAAGTAATAACCTGGATTTGACGGGTGCCTGGGTGGCTCAGTCGGTTGAGCGTCTGCCTTCAGCTCAGATCATGGTCTCAGGGTCCTGGGATCCAGCCCTGCATCGTCCTCCATCATCGGGCTCTCTGTTCAGCAGGGAGCATGCTTCTCCTTCTCCTTCTGCCTCTCCCCTGCTTGTGTGCTTTCTCTCTCTGTGTCAAATAAATGTATAAAATCTTAAAAAAAAAAAAAAAGACCTAGATTTGAGACAGGTGTCTGAAGTGGGGTGAGGTCTTAAAAGAGTGAATGCTCAACTAGTGGGATCTGATGCTGTCTCCAGGTAGATACAGTCAGAATTA